ATTTTTTGAGACCGAGTCTCACTGTGTTGCCCAGGCTGGTCTCAAACTCCTGGGTTCAAGCGATCCTCCTGCCTCAACCTCTCAAGTAGCTGGGGTTACAGGTGCACACCACCACACTCAGCTCTTGATTTGTTCTATATTTCCTCCTTTTCTCTTTTTCTTCTTTTGGACAAAATATGTATTGAAAGCCAGTTAATGGTAAAGAGTATTTGGATAGAACTTATATGCTTCCTTCTCAAATGGCCATGTAAGAATCAGTGAGGGTCTTTAGAGAGACCTTGAATCTCTTACTTATTGTAAACTGACCTGACAGTTTGTTCTTGGCATTACAGCCCTTTGTGGAGATGCACTTGCCACTTGTAAAACATTTACTGTGAATATATGATATATAATTTAGAAAGCTATTCCTGGCCAAGCACAGTGGCTCACGTCTGTAATCAAAACACTCTGGGAAGCTGAGGTGGGAAGATTGCTTGAGGCCAGGAGTTCAAGACCAGCCTGGGTAACATAGTGAGACCCAGTGAGACCCCCTTGCTACAAAAAATAAAAATAAATTTAAAAAAAAGAAAGCTATTCTTTAAGTAAATACTTAACGAGGTGTGTAACTCATATTTACTCTTAATCTTTCAAGTATCACATTCCATTTTATCATTAGAAATAGAGTACATTTATTTTCTTTTTTTTTTTAGATAAAGGGTCTTATTCTGTCACACACAGACTGGAGTGGTGCAGTGACATCATCATAGCTCACTGCAGCCTCTAACTCCTGGGCTCAAGTGATCCTCCTGCCTCTGAGTAGCTAGGACTACAGGCATGTGCCACCATCACCAGATTGTATTTCCTGATAAATAGAAAATGGAAAAAGATTTCTTCCTATTGTTGTTGTTGCTTTGCCAGTGTGTTCATGTGCACCAGTTTTATTACCTAGGTTTTTGTATAAGACCAGTTTTCTCCTGAGGCCTCTTAAAATCTTCCCACTCTAAGTCTACTTTAAGACAAAAATTTTAAGCCAAGTATGATGGCTCCATGCCTGTAATCCCAGCATTTTGAGAGGCCGAGGCAGGAGAATCACTTGAGGCCAGGAGTTTGAGACCAACCTGGGCAACATCTGGAGACCTCATCTCTTCAAAAAATTTTTAAAAGAAATTTAACTGGGTATGGTGGCATGTGCCTCTGTAGTCCCAGCTACTCTACTCAGGAGGCTGAGGGAGGAGGATCACTTGAGCCCAGGAGTTTGCAGTTAAGAGATGATAGTGAGCTACGATTATGCCATTGTACTCTAGCCTGGGTGACAGAGTAAGACGTTGTCTTTAAAAAAAACAATGTTTTTGTAATTTCAGCTGAGTTTTGAAAAATTGAAATTTGAAATCAATATATGAATCTGATTTTAGTTATTTCCCTTACACCTATGTATATCACTATTTGTAATTATGGAGAAGGGAAGTCTTAACTGGATTTGTGACTTTGGAATAATCAGCTAACTTTTATGAGCCCTAGATTTATTATCTGTAGAATGAGAAAGTTAGATCATCAAGATTCCTTCTAATTCTGTTTCTTTGTCAGTATGATCTTAGAGATAGGCCTGATTGTTCCATCTTGGAACTTGGCCACAGTGTACTAGTGACGGACTGGAAAGTTGGGAGTGGGGGTGGAAACTGACATATAGGAGTAGGGTAATAACATATCTGAAGAGTAAATAGTTATGCCATAGGACTGAGATTTCAGGGTAGAACTCCAGTAAGCAAATGGGTCTACCAAGAATAGACTAGATCCCAATTATAGAGGGCCTAGGATATCACATAATCTGCCAAACATGAACTCAGTTGCAGCAAAACAGGCTGAAGCCCAGTTATCAGAAGGTGAAGGCTGGACTAGTAACAAAGGTAGAAGGGCTGTGGATTATGGTGCTGTATCTTTTTCTGCCTGAGGCTGAGATTAGCTCTAGGAGCTGAAGTGAACCTACAAGGGAGATAAGATATATGCAGAAGCTGGGAACCAGACCTGGTTTTAGAACATTCTTGGGCATCTGTGTTTGAGATAGTAACCTCTAGGATAGCAGAAGAGTAAGCTACCTTGAAACAGTTTTGCAATATATCAGTCCTTATTTGTCAACAGGTGATGTAATTGCCATGTGTGCTTTTCTTCCTTAGCATTCGAAGGACCCAAGTCATTGATGATGAGTCAGATTACTTTGCCAGTGATTCTAACCAGTGGTTATCCAGACTTGAGCGGGAAACCCTGCAGAAGCGAGAGGAGGAGCTGAGGGAACTTAGACATGCCTCTCGACTTTCTAAGAAGGTCACCATTGACTTTGCAGGCAGGAAGATCCTGGAAGAAGAAAATCCACTAGCAGAGTATCATAGCAGGTAAGTTGAGCAGCACCAGAAAGGGTCTGAAAGAAGGAGTAGCTTGACTGCAAAGGATTTTCCTTCTGTAACAGATCTTTTATTTTTGTTGACTTTAAAAATATGTTCATTTGAAATAGAAAATATGTAAGAATAGCTAAGAAATTTCAAAAATGAACAGTGAAGGGATCTTGTCCTACTAGATAATTACTGTTACTTCTTTAAAAACTGTTAAGCTGGGTACAGTGACTCACACCTGTAATCCCAGCGCTTTGGGAGGCCAAGGCAGGAGGATACCTTGAGCCCAGGAGTTCAAGACCAGCCTGGACAGCATAGTGAGTCCTTATCTCTACAAAAAAAAATTTTTTTTTAATTAGCTGGGGGTGGTGGCATGCGCCTGTAGTCCCAGCTGCTCAGGAGGCTAAGTTGAGAGGATCCCTTGCACTCAGGATTTCATGGCTGCAGTAAGATATGATCATGCCACTGCACTTCCAGCTTGGGCGACAGAGGGAGACTCTATCTCTTAAATAAAAATAAATATATATAATAAAAAACCATTTTTAAACAATGAGGTATAGTTTGAGCACAGGAATAGATAAATGAAACATAAAACCTGGAAAGAGGCTGATATGTTTATATTGTGTACTTGTGCATGGCTGTATGTGTATATAAGTGTGAGGTTAGTAATCAATAAAGCTAACCTTTGTAAGCACTAAAGAAAAGATTAATTATCTAATGTAGGGATGATTGACCAGCAATATGGAAAACATCTAGGTTAGATTTCTACCTCACACCATACTATAATACTGTCATAAGTTTGACTAAAGAGTTAAATCTAAAAGAAATAAAAGAATCATAAAGAAATACAGAAACATAGGAGAATACACTTACAGCCTTGGTTCGATAAAGCTCTTTCTAAGCAAGATATACAACCCTAAATTCATATAGACATATCTTAAAAAAAAAAAAATCAAACTCAGAGAAAATATTTTAAATGGTTCTAACAAAGGAGCAATATCCATACTTATAAAGAACTCTTGCAAAAAAAAAATTTTTTTTGAGACAAGTTCTTGCCCTATTGCCTGGGCTAGAGTGCAGTGACATCATCATAACTCACTGCAACCTCGAACTCCTGGACTCAAGCCATCCTCCTGCCTCAGCCTTCTGAGTAGCTGGGACTACAGGTGCATGCAACCACACCTGGCTAATTTTTTGATTTTTTTGTTGAGATGGGGGTCTCACTCTTGCTCAGGCTGTTCTTGAACTCCTGGCCTCAAGCACTCCTCTCATCTTGGCCTCCCAAAGTGCTAGGATTACAGGCATGAGCCACCATGCCTAACCCCAAGAACTCCTGAAAATCAAAGAAAAAGACCAAAAAATCCTGCAGAAAAATGGACAAAGGCTAAGAATAGACAATTCATAAGTGGGGAAAAACAAATACCCAATAACATTTGAAAAGATACTCAACTAGTTATCAGGAAATACAGATTTTAAAACGTGTCATTTTTTGGTTCATCAAATTTGGCTGACATTACAAGAAGGATAATATTGCATAGTGCAGCAGTCTCCACCCTTTTTGGCACCAGGGACTGGTTTCATGGAAGACAATTTTGCCATGAAGGCAGGGGCTGGGGGATGGTGACGGAGGGCGGGGGGTGTGGAGCTTAGGTGGTGATGCGAGGCCCATTTCCTACCTGGCTGCAGCCCGAGGGTTGAGTGCCACAGGCATAGTGCGTGTGTAGGAAGATGGGTCTATTATCTTAACTGGCTAGGAGTATTAAAATGGTATAGCCTGTATAATTCATGATTCCAACTATTTAGTAGTTTCCAGGGCTTAAAAGGGAGGGAGAGAGAAGTAAATAGAGGGAGCACAGAGTATTTTTTAAGACAGTATAACTACTCTGTACGAAACTATAATAATGGTGGATACATCTCATAAATTGGTCCAAACCGATAAAATGTACAACACCAAAAGTAAACCCTAATGTAAACTGTGGTCTTTGAGTGATGACGTGTCGACGTACGTTCATCATTTGTAACAAATGTACCACTCTGGTGGGGGATGTTGATAATGGAGGAGGCTATCTGTGTGTGGTGGCTGGGCATATATGAGAAATCTCTGTCTACTCAATTTTTCTCTGAACCTAAAACTGTTTTAAGAAATAAAGTCTATTTCTCAGTCATTGTCAGGCTAATAAAAAAATAAAATAAGTTAAAAAAAGACACAGTCTATTAACTTAAATAAACAACAAAAATTGGTACAGTCTTTTAGAAGAGAAATTGGGCAGTACCTCAAAATTTAAATTATGATGTATACTTTTTGACTTATCAGTTATATACCAGATATCAGTATAAGTTTCCTCTTCCCCTTGTCAACAATTTCTAAAAAATATTTGCCATTCTGACATATGAAAATGGTATTTCACTATAAGTTTTATTCACGTTGCTTTGGTTGTAATACTAGTGAGTTTGAGTGTTTTTAAAATGTATTCATTAGCCATTTGTATTATTTCTTTTATTGTTTCTGGAATTCTGGACACACTTACCACTGCACTATGTCTCAAATCTGTTTCCCTCCTTCAGATCCCACTGCCCCCACCCTATTTTAGACTCACCTCTTCCCACAAATTCTTATACTTTTTTTTTTTTTTTTTTATAGCTTCATGCCTTTGTTTCTGCTTCCGTGGTTTGGAAATCCCTCTCCCCTTCTTTGCCTTTCAAATATATACCCCTCCTTTGAACCTACTTGGTACAACCTGTGGGATGATGGGATAAATAGCTACCAGATGGGTCGTGCCTGTCTCGTAGTAATTATTACATCCTCTTGTGTATGACTCATCATCTATATAGCTGTCTTAAACCTGCCACTTAGATTCAAAGCTTCTTGAAGGCAGAAACCACATCTTCCACACCTTTTAAGTTGCCTTGCATATAAGAGGTTCCTAACAAATACACCTTGAGTTTAATTCAAGGTCAGGTTTAGCCTTTCCTGTTAGTTGAACCTTTTCATTCTGAGTGCCGCAGAATTATCATCACCATCCACATACATTTGTCAGACACCCACGGGGGCATGAAATACAGTAGCAAGTACTGTAGAGCTATAGAATAAGGTATTTTTCCTGTAGGGCCTATGATCTCTTAATAACCAGTAGGATTCCGCAGTCTTTAAATGAAAATCACCATGTTGTTTTATAGGTTTAGAGCCAAATGCCCACCATAGTTAGTTACAGGATAACATGGGATGTAGCGCATTATTGTTTAGATAGTAGGTGCTACAGTGCTTTAGAGAAAGGAGTAAGCACTTTTGTGCTGAGCCAGTAGGGTGCCTCTTTAGAGCTGCTGAACCTTGAAGCAAGGGTAGAATTTAGATGAACATGGAGGAGTGGAGAGGGACTGCAGAGTAGGCAGAGGAATAACTGTGTAAGGTGTGTTGAGTAGGTAAGCTGCCATAGAATACTCTTTTGTGGGTCAGGCTATTTCTGGGCACCTTATCTAGGTGTATTTAATGATCTTATTAAATAGATGAGTGATTGTAGCGTGCCGTGTTTTCTTGGTGTTCTCGAACGTTTGCTCACTCGTATTCCTTAGGGTTTTGGTGTGAGGAGAAGAAAGTTGTGGCGGGGAGCAGGAAAGGTCATCCATGGATCCCTCTTTGAATTCCAAATTTTATTACTGTTGAAGGGTTTTGTGTTGGTATACATAAGGACATTCTGAGCATAGAACATTACCAATTATTGCATCCTTTTGGTTTGTTATCACAGACTAGATGAGACAATACAGGCCATTGCCAATGGAACCTTGAACCAGCCACTGACCAAATTGGATAGATCTTCTGAAGATCCGTTGGGAGTTCTGGTAAATCCCAACCTGTACCAGTCCCCTCCCCAGGTTAGTGGACCTTTGCTCTGACTGATAATAAGGGAAGTTTTGCCCCAAATGTTTTCCCTTTTAACTGTGTCTGTTTCATAGGCTTTAGATACCAATCTACTCTTTCAATACACCCACCAACTTTATTCTCTGATCCACTTTTTTCCAATTTTTACTGCAGCACTTCTGGCAAGTTGACCTGTATTTTCTTCTTAGGATTTCCCAAGAGAGGGTTTTGTTAAGTACTATAGAAATTTAGAAAATAATTTCATGGTCTTTTTGTTAATGTTCTTTATCTTTTATAAAATATGGTGGTCCCACAGAGTGGTGTTTTAAATTAATTTATTAATTCACTCATTCATTGTCATAATTCGTTTTACTGTCCAGTACATTGAGCATCTACTATGGACAAGCACATTGGTAAATGATGCTTGAATGAGGATACTCATTCTATCCTCAAAGAATTTACAGACTAGTAGGGGAAAGCAGCTCTAATACTAATATAGTATAAATTTAAGTGTTGTAGAAATCCAGAGGAGGGAGAGACTACTTCCAGTTGAGGGGAATCAAAGGGTTTTATAGGGAAGCTGGCATTCATTAAAAGGAAATATTCAAGAAAATGGTTGTTTAGACATGGTGGGGGGAAAGAATGCCAAATGGGATGAACTATAGGAGCAAAGGTATGTGTATACTAATACACATGAATAGCTAACTAACACACGAATAGCTAACTAATACACATGTGTGTGTGTGTGTGTGTGTGTGTGTGTGTGTGTATGTAATAGTAAATACAGGGTACCTAGATAGGACTCATAAAGTAGATAATTATGAGAAATAGAGTAGAATTAGATAGGTAGGACCAGATCACTGAAGAACTTAAATGTTAGCCAGGTGCAATGGCACATGCCTATGGACCCAGCTACTCAGGAGCTCAGGAGGCTGAGGCAGGAAGATTGCTTGAGCCCAGGAGTTGGAGACCATCCTAGGCAACATAGTGAGCCCCCTATCTCTTAAAAAAAAAAAAAAAACAAATGTTTAGCTAGGAAGTGATACATTTTTATTTTGTAAATAAATATGAGCCATAAAAGTTGTTAAGCAAAGAGATTATGCAATCAGGATAATGCTTTAGACAGTTTAATTGGAGATATTCATTCAGCACTGTATATGTGCCAGATTCTGTGCAATTCTTTTAAGATAATTTCTATAATAGATACATGCCGCAAGTATAGTAGGACTTCAGCAGAGTGTTCATACATCTGCTAGAGGAGTCACAAAAGAAATAGTGTTTGAGAGGAGACTTAATGGATAAATAGAAATTTCCAAACAGACAAATCTAGGAAGGGAATTTCAGGCAGAAGGTACAACATTGAATGAACAAAGGCTCTGAAGCTTGAGAGCGTTGTGGGTTTGGGGGAATCACAAGTAATTAACTATTGTTGTGGACTGGTAGGTGAATTAGTTTCTTAGGGCTACTGTAACAAGTACTATAAACTGGGTGACTTAAGACAGCATAGGGCCAGGCACAGTGGCTAATTCCTGTAATCCTAGCACTCTGGGAGACTGAGGCGGGAGGATCGCTTGAGGTCAGGAATTCAAGACCAGCCTGAGCAAGAGTGAGACCCTGTCTCTACTAAAAATGGAAAAAATTAGCCAGACGTGGTGGCACATGCTTGTAGTCCCAGCTATTCAGGAGGCTGAGACAGGAGGATAGCTTGAGCCCAGGAGTTTGAGGTTGCTGTGAGCTAGGCTGACACCACAGCACTCTAACCTGGACAACACAGTGAGATTATGTCTCCAAAAAAAAGACGACATAAATTTGTCCTTTTGTATCTGGCAGCTAAAAGTGCAAAATCAAGGTGTTGGCAGGGCCAAATTCATTGCAAAGGCTCTACAGGAGAATGCTTCCTTACCTCTTTAAGCTTATGGTGGCCCTAGGTATTTCTTGGCTTGTAGCTGCATTACTATAATCTCTGCCTCTGTCTTCACATGGCCTTCTTCCCTGTGTGTCTCTGTCTCTGTGGCCTCTCCTCTTACAGGGACATCAGTCCTCAGATTTAGGGCTCACCATAATCCAGTATGACTTGATCTTAAATTGATTATATCTGTAAAGACTATATTTCCAAATAAGGTCATATTCACAGATTCCAAGTGGACATAAATTTTGGAAGGATACTACTCAATCCAGTACAGTAAGCAACACCTGATCATCAAAGCCTTTATGTCTCATGCAAAGGAGTTTGGGTTTTATCCTAAAGTAGGCAAAGAAGGGCCCTTGAATTATAGCAGAAGACTGGCATGACCACCCATGTAGAGAATGGGTTGGAGGGAAGGGTAAGACTAGAAGCAGGGAAATTGCTAAGGAAGTTATTGCAGTAGCACAATGGGGAGGTGATGAGAGCCCAGATGAGTGTTGTAGCATCAGCAGGGCAGTGGAGAGTTATTTAAAGACTCAAAATGTAGATGAAGAGACCTGTTAGTAGGTTCTATAATAGCATTATTGAAAGATAATGAGGGATTAATTAGGAAAATGGCTGTATAATTAGAGGCAAGAGCTGTAGTAGAGATAGAGAATTCAGGCTTCAGGATTATTCAAATACCAACATTTTTATGAAATTACTTAATGGATCAATTCTTCTTCCTCTATGTTCCCATATAAGAACTTCTGTTTCTATTTAGTATTTACTCAATTCTGCCTTATGTTTTGGATATTTATGTGTCTGTCTGTCACTAGGATTATAAGTTCCTTGAAAGCAAAAACCATATATTTTTCATATTTTATTTGTCTCCCTAGTTCACGTGCTTTTCACATATTTAATTGCGCAATAAATTTGTTTCTTTTTTTTTTTTATTTCAGCATATTATGGGGGTACAGATGTTTAGGTTACATATGTTGCCCTTGCCCCCCTTCCCCGCCCAAGTCCGAGCTTCAAGCGTGCCCATCCCCCGGATGGTGCGCATCGCACTCTGTGTATACCCGTCCCCTCCTCCCCCCTCCCGCTCTCCTCTTCCCCCTGCCTGACATCCAATAAATGTTATTCTTATATGTAAATGTGTTTCTTAAAAGATATGACACGATGAGAATCATAACATTTTGTTCAGAAAGATTCTTAGAGATTCATTTAGTCTGTCTGGTCCTCGCTGTTTGAATAAAAAGAAAAAAAAAAAAAAGAGGCCGGGCGCGGTGGCTCACGCCTGTAATCCTAGCAC